CCCCCGGCTCCCGGCCCGGCCCCGCGCCCAGCCCGGACCCCGGCCCCGCGCCCGGACCGGCACCGCTATCCTGGCCCGGCCCGGCCCCCGGCCCGGCACCGCGCCCCCGGCCCGGCACTATGCCCCCGGCCCCAGACAAAGAGGCCCCAGCCGAGCCTCCCGATTTTCCCGGACATGCCCGGCTTTTGGGGATTTCCCCCCGGACGGGGATTTGAGCCCCCAAAAGCCGGACATGTCCGGGAAAATCCGGACATATGGTAACCCTATTATACCCGTCTTGCTGATTGAAGCGGAATGATGGGACTTTTAATAAATAATGATGAGGGTAAATAACCATTGTTAGAACTTATGTTGGGTCGAGGTGGATTCTCAATCATTGACAATTTTTAAATCAAGGTTGGATGTTTTTCTAAAAGGTACGTTACACTTGAATAAGAAATTAATTAAGAAAAGTCCTGTGGCTGGTGTAATTCAGGAGGTTAGACTATATGATGTCTGTGGGCACTTCTGATCTTGTAATGTATGAATCAATCATTTACAAAGGAGGAGTTATTTTGGACACTTCTCTAATTCTTTAAAATGTTCCCTTCTGTCTTTAGGCACTGTACCGATGTTCTGTGCTGTGTAATCTTCATAGTCGTCATTCTGGGTTACATTGCATTAGGAATTCTGGGTAAGTAAACCCAGCCACGGTAGTGGCTTCTCTTGCAGGGGGAGTAAATAAGTGAGTCATTATTTTTAATTGAAGAGTCCATTTAATTTTAAACTTTCTAATCAATGAGCCATGTGTTTCCTAGAAGCAAATCATTCATTCACATTAAATGTCTGTTATAGTCAGGGAGAGGTTGAAAATGGTGTGTTTATTGATGGAAAAAAACAAAGTAAAATATATGTAGGTAAAAATGTCATGGTTCAATCATTTTGCTATCATAAACTATAATTGAGACAGGAAAATCCTGGCACTTGTCAGTCGTCAAAAAACAAAAGCTAGAGAAAAACATTCATTTTTAAGAGGCTTTGCATTCTTTAAAATATTAGCAAGAGACTCTATGGGAGCAATGAATGGAGCAGAAAAAACTTCATTTAATTGTGGGGGACAGAGCTGTTTGATTATCAGGATATTCTGTGGTAACCGTTTAGTTTGCTTGTCTGAGAGAACTTCACTGAGACTGTCTAAATGAGTGAGGGCAAATGCCAGCTACCATAAAAGTACAGTTACTATGTGTTTGCATATTTGACTGAACTTAATTTCCTAATAAAAGACCATATGGCCCTGGCTTAGACACATGAAATATCATCACGCTTTTTAATTCTGTGTTAGTAGTTTGGCTTTGTACAGTAGAAAAAATACTATGTGTAGGGTCAGAAGATGACAATAAGCAAGATTGATTTTACAGAACCAGTAGAAATCAGTAAGTATACGGGAATGTACAGCATCCTCTCATTCGAATATACTATTGGCACAGCATCCCAAAAGTCATAATTCGTTCTCTGTCTCTCTTCAGCTCCCTGTCTCTCTCACTTTCCCTTGTAGTATTTAAAGGCTGAACAGGTAGTTAAGATTTTGCTGCTTCTCTCTCCAGGTGCTCCTGTGTGCGTGTATTGTTCATTCCCTTGTTAACATATACTAGTTGTCCCTTCATGGAACATCCTGCTTTCAGAAAGGGGGAAAGGGAAGGAAATAAAGTGAATACACTCAGGGCCGGCTCCAGGCACCAGCCGAGCAAGCTCGTGCTTGGGGCGGCAGATTGTATAAGGTGGCATTCGGCCCAATCCTAGGGCGGCACGGCCGCTTTTTGTTTTGTTTTGTTCCACTCTGGCCGCCCTGTAGCGAGCGGTGGCGCGGCGGAGGGGAGGGGCTCCGGCCGCGCCGCAGGTGCTTTTTTTTTTTTTTGCTTGGGGTAGCAAAAAAGCCAGAGCTGGCCCTGAATACACTTGCAAGCAATAACAGTCAAGGGGGGTCACTGCAGTTGAAAGGTAGCACCACACACTGACCCCGTAACAGGCAGTTGTTGTCTAATGAATGGAGCATGATACTGGCAGGCAGGAGAACTGTGTTCCACTCATGACAGTCACTAAGTTGCTGTGCCACGTCAGGCAAGTAACGTAACTGCTCCGTGCCTCAGTTTCTTTATCTGTAAAACCGAAAGGAATTATTTAAGCTCAATACCAATGTGTACACAAGAACAAATGGATATAAACTGGACATTAGGAAGTTTAGACTTGAAATTAGATGAAGGTTTCTAACCATCAGAGGTGTGAAGTTCTGGAACAGCCTTCCAAAGGGAGTAGTGGGGGCAAAAGATATATCTGGCTTCAAGACTAAGCTTGATAAGTTTATGGAGGAGATGGTATGATGGGATAGTCTAATTTTGGCAATTAATTCGTCTTTGACTACTAGCGGTAAATATGCCCAATGGCCTGTGATGGGATGTTAGATGGGGTGGGATCTGAGTTACTACAGAGAATTCTTTCCTGGGTGCTGGCTGGTGAGTCTTGCCCACATGCTCAGGGTTTAGCTGATCGCCATATTTGGGGTCGGGAAGGAATTTTCCTCCAGGGCAGATTGGCAGAATCCCTGGAGGTTTTTCGCCTTCCTCTGCAGCGTGGGGCCTGGGTCATTTGTTGGAAGATTCTCTGCACCTTGAAATCTTTAAACCATGATTTGAGGACTTCAGTGGCTCAGACACAGGTTTGATACAGGAGTGGGTAGGTGAGATTCTGTGGCCTGCATTGTGCAGGAGGTCAGACTAGATGATCATAATGGTCCCTTCTGACCTTAAAGTCTATGATTCTATGATAATACCTACCTTTGTAAAGCGCTTTGAGATCCATGGATGGAAAAAAATCTGTATAAGGGCAAAGAGTTAACTAATAAGCTCTTAATACAGGTCCTGTGCCCGTGTGCCATACATGGATCCAGTACTTTAATGGTTTCATTAGCTACGGGATTCTTCTTGGGGACAGTAGTGGGTAGAGGGTGAGGGAGAAGAGTGTCTCTAACTGTACTTCATGCATTATTTAGTCACATTCAGACTAGATTGTCTGAAGTCCTTTGGCTTCCTTGCACAGCTCAGACTGTGATGCTTCCTTAACATCAATGGCATCCTACTTGGGGATGGGGATCTGTCTGGTCTGTATATGCTGCTGCTACTGGAGTTCATATGAATGAAATTTTGCATATGCTCTCTTATCTCTGCCTCCTCTTTTGATCCTGCTGCTTGTACTATTTGCTGTAGAGTGATGCTACGATCTGAGTTGCCCCTACTTTAATTGCCCAGCTACATTGTACCTTACTGGCCTCTTGTTTCATTCCAAGCTGGTACCAGCACTCATTTGGCGTGTGTGTGTGCGCGCGCGCACATATACAGACCTGCCAAGCAGGGCTGGCACCAGCACAGCAAGCAGGTGCTTGGGGCGGCCAAAGGAAAGAAGGGGCAGCACGTCCGGGTCTTCAGTGGCAATTAAGTGTTGGGTCCCTCAGTCCCTCTCGGAGGGAAGGACCTTCCGCCGAAATGCTGCCAATCGCAGCTGCTCTTTTTTTTTCCCCCGCCGCTCAGGGTGGCAAAAACACTGGAGCCGGCCCAGCTGCCAAGCCTCCCACCTGAAGCAGGAGTACCCCACATTTGGAATATTTTACTTCCCTGTTCCCCCTCTAATGTTCCTCCAGCTCTTCCTGCTCCCTGTTCGCTCAGCTGGTGTGTTACTGTTCTGTTCCTATCCTTCTTTCACCACTCAAACATACACTCCAAGTGGAGGAGTTGGGCTCAGATCATGGGAGCATTCCTTGTTCTCATTAATACGTGAACACTCCCGTTACAGGTGAGTGGCCCCTACTCTGGATGTTGTGTCAGACAGAGTATTGGGACACTGATGAACACACAGAGAGAGGCAGAAGTGAGCACTGGCAATTTGTGGTTGTGCAGCATTCTTGTGCATTCAGATCTTCCTGCCAGCCTGTACAATCTCCCTCCAGCACTGCACAAATCTCCCTTAATCCTTTGGCTAGACTTCCATGGCAGCTCTGCATGTGCTGTTTCCAAACATCATGTTCTGCATGAAATACGTTGCACAAGCCGAGAGAGGCAAAAGATGAGTGGTTGGCCAGATTCCTCTCTTCCCTGACTCTGTGGTCTCAGACAATGGGATCAGTGTGGTATGTGATGGTGAATTTGTCCATATAGGGTACATTTGCACATGCCTTGGAATCCTATTATGAAAAAAACCTTCTAACCAAACCCTTAGGTATAAAACATTGAGGGGTTTGGAATCCAACCCTGGATCAAGATCCAAATTTTGTGGCTGGCCACTGTTTTTTTTTCTGTGACGGGTGGATCCAAATTTTTGCATCTGAACACCCCTATTACATATCCAAATCTAAACCCCGTATGGTGCCTGCTTTTTCTTTGTCCTCAGATTGTGATTCATCCTTCTTATTTTAAATGAAAGATGAGATCAGCATGGGTCCTACTCCAAAGGCCAGCCCTGCTCCAAATGCATGTGTCAATAAAGTTCATATGAGGAGAAAATAGATTATAAATCAATTCTCCGTCATGAGTTATGCCTTAAGCATCTCCTGTCCTTTGGCTTATTATAGAAATAAAAAAGTCGATTTTCCAGGTTTCTTGACTATGTGAGAATAGCTTCCTCGTTTCACATGTCATTTGGCTGGATAAAGAAAGGAAATACTCAAACTAGGGCTGTTGATTAATCGCAGTTAACTCACACAATTAACTAAAAAAAATCAATCACGATTAAAAAAAATCATGATTAATCATACTGTTAAACAATAGAATACCAATTGAAATTTATTAAATATTTTTGGATGTTTTTCCCTTTTATGGACACCCAGCCAGTTAGCTATAAAATCCTTCTTGGTAGCTGTTCTCTACTTGCTTTACCTGTAAAGGGTTAAAAAGTCTGACTGCATGCATAGGTAAAAGGAAGGGAGTGGGCACCTGACCAAAAGAGCCAATGGGAAGGCTAGAACTTTTTAAAATTGGGGAAAAAATAAACTTTTCCCTTTGTCTGCCTGTTCTCTGGCGATTGGGGACAGAGCAGAGACAGGGCTGGGACAATGTTGTAAAAAGCTTTAAAACCAGGTATGACAAATCATACCTCGAACCTACTTATCTGAAACCCCAGATATGTAAGGAGATCAGGGAATGTCTAGGATGATGCAATTAGGTTTATTTCTTTAATTCTTATTGGCTTGTGGACTCCTCTCTGCTAACCCCCAGATGCTTTTGTTTTGCTTGTAACCTTTAAGCTGAACCTCAAGAGAGCTATCTTGATGCTTAAGTTTTGTAATTTTTTTTTAAGATCTAGCAAAAAGCCTAAGTTCCAGATGTATTTTCTTTCTTTATGTTTTTAATAAAATTTAACTTTTTTTAAGAACAGGATCAGGTTTTTTGTGTCCTAAGAAGTTTGTGCACATGTTGTTTAATTAGATGATGGCAACAGCTGAGTTCCTTTGTTTCTGTCTCCGCTGTTCCCTGGAGGGTGTGTGAAAGGGCTTGAAGGTACCCCACAGGAAGGAATTCCCAAGTATGCCTTTCTGGGTTCCAAAAAGGGGTTTTATTGCATTTTGGTGGTGGCAGTATCTACCTATCCAGGGTCAGAGAGAAGCTGTAACCTTGGGACTTTAACACAAGCCTGGAGTGGCCAGTATTA